AACTGCTGACCCACTTCTTAAGGATCACACGCGGGATCACACACTCATCATGCAGCAGACAGCAGAGCGTGGCGTAGGTACACAAAGTTTGCCCTTATTGCAGTTTCATGATCACAGAAATCAGCACTGCTATGCATGGTGTGAGATTATAATGGTGTAATAAATCTGACTATAAATGCCACAAAGATTCCATCAATCTTTAAAACCAGGGCATACAAAATATTTTACTCATTTACACGCCTGCAAGAGTACTTTAACAGATGTTATTTAAAAGCATAATAAAAATAATTATATTTATGGATACACGTAAATGGCTATCCATCCATCCATTTTCTGACACGCTTTATCCCAAGTGGGGTGGGATGGGGTGCTGGTGCCCATCTCCAGCTGTCTACGGGGGTAGACAGGTAGAGGTGGGGTACACCCTAGACAGGTCGCCAGTCGATCGTAAGGCAACACAGAAACAAACAGGACAAACAACCATTCACAAACACACCTAAGGAGAATATAGAGAAGCCAATTAACCAAACATGATTTTTTGGACTGTGGGAGGAAGCCGGAGTACCCGGAGAGAACCCACGCATGCTCAGGGAGAACATGCAAACTCCGTGCAGAAAGACCCCGGGCCAGGAATCGAACCCAGCAGTGCTACCCACTGCACACTAAATATTGGTAAAAAAATGTTTGTATTGAATAGTAACTCCAGCAATAGGGAGAAAAATTATTGTAAATCTGGGACTATTATTGGCCTATGTTATGGGTAAACAATTAATCTAACAACAAAAGGTTATACAGAAACAAATATAGTCCAAATCAAATAAACATGTATGTATGTATATATATATATATATATATATATATATATATAAATCAAGCCCACATTCTGATCAAAATCCTCTCAAGGCAACTAAATGCTATTTATAACACAGTTTAATCAAAGGTCTGTTGATCATAAAAACTGGTTAAAAGTTATGTATTAAAGGAGAACAGGTCATTGCAGGATTGTCATTGAGCTCAAGGACAATTGGTGGAAACATTTACTCATTAAACAAGGCAGCTTTCAGAGAGATCCTTGCTTTCTTCATGCATTACTGATGCTGATTTTGTTGTAGCAGTAAAACCTGATTAGCTTTACCTTCTGGAAAATTGCCTTCAGCTCAGTTGGGTCCCCACGTTTGGTAGATTGCACCTACAGTAAAAACACAAACAAGCAGAGAATGAATGCGCTATTCAACAGTGACAGCAGCACAGGCTGCTGAATCAGTCAGCTTTTAAAGACACACTGCGGAATAGAAAGCAAAACAAAGAAAATAAATTATAAAAAAGGAGAATGTCAAAGCTCAACCAGAATATCTCGAAGGGAAATTTTAAAAATAAATAGCTAATTGTAACCCCTTGTAGTAGATGTACAAACCGGGTAGCAAGCTAGCGAAAAAAGACAAATCACTGTCCCGAAATGTTAACATTTATATCCACAAAATAAAACACGAGAAGAACAAACAAACGACAGACAGTCCCGAAACAGCGTAGCTTCGACGGCTAGCAAGGCTTTCATATTAGCAACTTAAGGGTTTTAGCCTTTTCCGGCTAATTCGAGGTTGTAGATGCCTCATCAAGGCCAACCGGCGCCAGGACGACAGCTAGCCCGAGTGATGCTACAGCGTCGGAGCGGACTGCCTCCGAGACGCCGCACCCGAACAGACCCGGGCAGCCTAGCTTCACTAACTCACACGCAGCAAAAAGAGCAGAAAACACGCACACACGAGAAAGAAAAGGTTGAAAAAGAGCTAAAAGAGCGATGCCCAAGTCACCTTGACCGCCATGCTGGTTTGACGTCACACGCAGTGGGCGAGAGAGCAGCGCGCGTGCTCATCCACCCGGACTGAGGAGGAAACTGAGGAGCGTTAAAAGAATAAAACTGCGCAAAGAAAATGTAACAAGATAACAGCGGAAACAATAGCTCTGGATGAATGTGAGGCGAGGGAGGGATCAGATTAACTTTGCATGAATAGTGCTCAACATGGAGGAGCTGCTGTGAGAACTCTTACATCAGTCTCTGCGTGTGTGAACAAGCTGCGGATTACTTCCTATTTTTTCATCATACCCTGTCACTAGTATAATAACCTGTGAGTCACAAGAGCTCAACAGTAAAAATATAGAAAGCTCTAATATTGGGGAAAACCAAAGTGGATGAAATGTTATATAATATCTATATAGACCTGAAGAGTTAAATAACCTCTGTAATGATCAGTGCAAAATGTACATATTTAATTTGATCAATGCAGAACTGTTTTAGAGAACTTGAGTCAGTAGGGTACTTGTATCCTTTGAAATAAAGAGTGAAATAAATCTAAAATTTGAAATAAATCTTTTTTTTTTTTTTTTTTACTCAGATTGACTCAGAAACTTGAGGCTGCTCTGCTATCTAATCAATTATTTCCATTCTTCTTTGCCAAGCACCTTTTTTTCCAGCTTTTCTTTTTATTGTCATTACACTGTCACAAGTACAGAGCAACAAAATAAACTCTCTGCATGTAATCCATCCCCTTGTGGAGCAGTGGGCTGCCATTGTGCGGTGCCCGAGGAGCAGTATGGGCTTAAGGGTCTTTAGTTCAGGGACGCAGAACCTCAGGATTCCAAGCACAATGCCAGAACCACTTGGTCGCCCCTTCCCCTAAGCAACCTTTATCTGTAAATTCTTGCAATAAGCACTAATGAAGTATTGAACAGAAACTGTTTGTGAGGACTAACTGACACATGCAATAATTTAAAGAACTTCAAACTAGTAAAATAGTCTCTTTCATACTGGCAAAGGCAGAGAAAAAACACATAACAGCTGGTTTTATATTATGGGGAAATTATATCAAAACAGTGTATGGTTTATCTATATTTATGACTATTATAAAATATGTCTTATTTTGGGGGGTTTGTTATCTTTTGAACAAGTTGCAAAAGTGTATCTTTCCAGACTGCAGCTGTGTGCTCACAAGTGATATCACAAATGTTTGTTTTGACTGATAAAGCTGTGACCCACTCCTGTATTTTCACTGTTTGACTGACCAGGGGCTGTGTTATGTAACTTTGCTTAAAAATAGAGTGAATGTCATCTATTTTAAGCACTCTATGGTATGGGACACACTGATCCCACATGGCTTGTTAGATTATTACTAGGGTTGAAATGATTAATCGGATTAATCATGATTAATCGATTAATAAAATAATCATCAACTAATTTAGTAATCGATTAATTCCTAACTGGAGTATAGAGGGTGTAAAACATGCCTTTAGCTGACACATCAACCCACATTGAGCAGCAATTATAACAAAATTATAAAAAAAAGTAAACATTTTGCATTTAAGATAAGAAAAAAAGGTCCGTCTCTCAATACGCTCTATCCAGACCCCCTAAATTGGAAACATTATAGTTTCTAAAGGTGAAACTTCTTTAAGGAACCTTTGACTATCTGATTATTAACTAATGAATGAAAAACATAATTAACAGATTAAACGATTTGCAAAATAATTGTTTGTTGCAGCCCTACACAGGAGCAATATGTGCAACAGTGACAAGGTACATCCTGGGCATGTTTGCAGCCCATTGCAGGGCAATACAGCTATTTTCCCCCAAAGTAGTTCTGACAATGCTTGGACTTATGTTTTGGGTCATTATATTGCTATAAGATGAACCTCTGACCAACTAGATGGATACCAGAGGGTATTGCATACAGCTGCAGAATGCTGTGGTAGGCGCTTTGGCTCAGAGGGACCCTTACTTTGTAATAAATCATAGACTCTAAATCCTACAAAACATCCCCAGACCATCACATTACCTCCTCTGTGTTTAACTGCTGATGTTAGACTCTGTTGAACCATCCGTTCTACTAATGATATACAAAGCTCCTGCATAATAACCCAGATATAATCACACGGTATATTTAACATTTGGAATTTAGTTTTTATCTTCTGCTGAATAACTTAGCTTCAATTTTTTTTTTAAATAGCCTACTATCTAGTCTTATATGTACCTGCATATTTCCTTCTGTCTACTTAGTAATTTTTGCTACTGTCAACATCAGTTTATAACAAAGGTATTGCTACTTTGAAGGTTTTGGGTATGGGTTATCGTTAGGGTTTATGCCAGGTTTTGTCACATTTGGCACTCCTTCATAATGTTCAATAGAGGATCCTAGAAAGGGGCAAAATCCTTGTGAGACAGGGTTTAAAAAAACTGGAATGAGCTTTATCGGCCTCCCTTGGAAACCACAGGAACAACATCACTGCGTTTGACCAGTCTTAACTGACAGAACTGGAGAAGCAGGAAGAAGAAAATGTGTTCTTTAAGAATGTTGATGTTGGTTAAAGCTGACAGGAAGAACAAAAGGAGAAGCATAGGGCCAATTCATACCATATTAAACACATTAAGAAAATTAATAGACTTCATAGAAAAAAAACAAAACAAAGTAAAAAAGCTGAGTGATTAACACCGTGGAGGTAAGAAAAAAAAATATGGACAGTAAAAACTGTGCAGACAATGGCACTGAAGTACAAAATACTTCTGATCAGATAAAAACTGCATATAAAACTATGCATAAAATGTGTAAAAACCAAACTTTGAATCTAAGCCATATGACAGGTGTCCTTGGTAATAAGCAGTTTTGGACTATTGATGACTGCAATGTTGGATGAGAGTGGAATATCTAATTTGCTTACATCTTCTTGTGTCAGTGAGGAATTTTATTTCATTTTTTTTTTTTTTTTGCCACGTTGATTTATGGCTTTTTTATACTAGGACAAAAACGTAGGTAATCTACAATTGATTTTTTTTTTTTTAATAAATGTATTTCAGTTTGAGTTCAAAATTGTGTTAAAGTAGACACTAAATTCTTCCACACTAAATCATAAATAACAGATTCCAGACACATAAAAAAAAAACTTCATAAAGCGCTTTAAGTTTCCGGGTCACGTGACCAAATACTCTCCGACCACGTGACCACAACAGAACATAGGGTATTTAATGGCTGCCGTTGTTGCTCGCTGCCCTGTTGGGCTTTCATGCAGGAAAGGTAATTTGAGTTATTTCAGCGCCATTAGGCCTAGTCTGAGTCTTAACATCAGCGAGTTTGATTAAATTAATGATATAAAATCTAAAGTCAAAGTTTTAAGGAGACGGTTGAATTATTATATTAGTTAGCATGGTCACCCCTGAACAATTAATACTGAAAACATTTATTTAGCCAGTTTTTATCTGTATTTGTAGTCATTATTTATGCCAAATAGGTGACATTTAACAAGTGCTGTATTTTAACAAACCAAACTGCTGCCTGGAAAAGCTCTCACACTAAAAAAACACTATATTTTGTTAAGCTACGAACTCTGCTTTAGTCTGAGTTTTATTGTTCATGTTACAGACCAACGTAAAATGATGCACATTGTTAATGATATGAAAAAGCCTTCCTGTGTGAAACTGTCCCAGGGCTAATTGGAAGGATCCCCCCCAACTGGTATTTATTTTTTAAATACTGAAGAAACCAATTTGTCTAAGTGAAGCTTAAATACATTAAAAAAAATCAGTAATGCATGTAAAGTAATATAGCAAATAATGAGTTAATCTTAATACAATGCCCTATGCACGCGAAAGTTTTTGCACAGTTATATATGTCTACTTTCAAATCTATTACATGGTGCTAGCACCTAAAGGTGGTCAGTTTGTCTGTAATTATGAACCATCCCTTAGCAAAAAGTAGTTTATTCAAGTATACTAAAAGTGCACTAATGTCATGCTTAAAATCAGGCAGTACATTTAGAGTTTACTTATTCTAAACTATATTTCATATACTAAACAATAGTATATACAATAGTATAGTCAGTACACTTGACTATACTATTGTGTACTTTATTGTTTGCTAAAGTATACTTTAATTATACTTTAGCAAACTTAAAAATGTCCCAATTTAGTTTCGAAGAAGTATTACTTTAGTAATACTTAAAGTACACTAAAAGTACATTGTTCGGTATACTTTCTAAACTTATACTTAAGGATTGTTAATAGAATTGATTTCAAATATACTAATTTTTGATAAGGGAAATCCTATTACTGTTAGTCCTGCTGGGAAACTTGTTAGACACTCCAAAAAAAGAAAAAAAAGAAAAAAGAAATAAGTATATATACACACACACACACCAGTGTTGAAGTTGACACTGCAACAGCAGTGTAGTGACTATTTGTAAAAAACTAAAATTAAAAAAACTTAAGACTTAAAGCTGATCAAAGCAAAAGGTGAATGTAACTCAAATAGCCACCTGATGCACCGTGGATTCTGGCTTACACAGTCCAAAAAGATCACAAAATGGTCAAAATTCAGTTCTTTGCTTGCTTCTTTTCTCCGTTCAGACAAACAGGCTTCACAGGATTATACTATTGCTCTCACTTTGATTCCTGTACCTGTTCTTTGATTGACTGACTGAAAACTGGTAAAAACCATATGACCAGCCACGTGCATAATGAGCTACTGAAGAACTACCTTTTTAAACTGTGAAACACCCACATCCCAAGCTAAAATTAAATAACTAATTACCGGTAAGTGAATCACTAACCAAAAACATATTCTAAATAACAAATCAAACTAAATAATCTAAATTCAAAGATTTAACTGAAAATGGAGAAATAGCTCCTACAAGCAGGTAAGGTCATTCAGTCAAAGACTAGATTAAATTCAATTCAGTTTTTATTTAATATGATAATATTTAGCAAAACTTGGAAAATAAACGTTTACAGAGATGCTCCATCCAATCAGACTGATGATGAACTCACTGTTCAGAAAAACTAAAATTCTTGTCTGCGAATTGGCAGCACCGGTAGAGATATTAAGCAACAAAATTGTAATAGCAGTGAAAAATCTTTAAGAAACCACTGATAGGAAGGGTAACACTTTTAGGATTGTTACTCATTAAAAAAAATGTGAAATCTCTGGATTGTTTTCCTTTCACTTTGAAATTGTGAACTCCTTTGTTGAAGCCTAACACAATCATATGAGAACAGATGGCAGCTTTTAGTTTCATCACAAAAAAATTAAACAAAAATGTTGAAGGGAAATAAATCTTTTTGTAAAGTACTCTATCTGTGTTTTGTATAACCTGTGTTTTGCAGTTGTCACTCATTACACAGAGTAACTGAAACAAGTAAAGAAAGCACATAGGAATAGTAGTCTCCAAAGTCTAACAACATGAAATCATGTTTAATATAACAAATATGAGCCTTTTTATCAATGCCTTTTTTAGGACTTGGTCGTTTCCTCCGTAGAGTTACATCTTTGGGTATCTGTGTTGGACCGACTGATCTTTTGTGTGAGCAACAACGTACCTTTTTCTGGAGGAAGTGGAAAAGCTCTCATAATGTGGTTCGTCCAGCTACTGTTCGGCCAGCCTACGCAGTGCCTAAGGTACAGCTACACTTTGGAAAATCATTCTTAGTTTAGCCATGGATTGTTTTGTTATAACTACTGCAGCTGCACTGGTGCTTTTTAAAGGTATAAGTCATATTAGTTACAGAGTTTAATTTAAAGAGAACAAGCAGCAGGTTGACATATTCTTATGTGTAAACCTAGATGGTGTCTACTTATTTGCAATATTTATTTATATTGGAATGACTTACAAACTTGAAGAGCTTCTTTTTCTTCAGTTTCCAACCATTTAAAATACTTTTTTAAAGTTCATTTACATGGAAATGTGTGTCCTACCATGACCTCTCTGTCCTCTCATCGTCTTTTTGAAACAAGCACATCGTGCAGCCTGACTATGTCAGCACTGGGCTGGTTCCTGAGTGGCCAGACTACATTGAGATCAAGAACAAAGAGCAGATTGAAGGCCTAGCTAGAGCATGCCAGCTCGCCAGACACATATTGCTACTTGCTGGAGGCAGTCTGAAAGTAGGAATAACACATTTCGAGAAGTTTTTTTTTTTCTTCCCTGTGTGTCATCTTAATCTAAACAACAACAGCTATATTATTTTTGGCTTTCAGGTGGGTATGACAACAGAGGAAATCGACTTCATTGTGCACCAAGAGACTATCAGGCACAATGCTTACCCCTCCCCTCTTGGATATGGAGGTTTTCCCAAGTCTGTCTGTACATCTGTAAATAATGTGGTGTGTCATGGCATACCTGACAGGTAAATGTGAAGATTCAGTACTCAAACATAAACAGAACACACAAAGAAACTCATTTTTATTAGTGAAATGCACTAAGGTTTCAATAAATCCCTAAATTTATTTGGTTAAACTATAAACTGTCTGTTTGCTCAATTGTCTTTTCACCAAATACATTGTTTTCCTAATTTTAAATCTTAAAAAAAGCAACAAAAAAACAAATAGGAATCATAACCCAATTAATATTACAAACCTCCATGATATGCTTATGTAATAAGGTCATACAACTAAAGTCTCATCTTTTGTCATCTCTACGATCTGCAGCCGCAAACTTGAAGATGGTGATATTATCAACATTGACGTCACAGTAGGTTTATGCAATTTTATGCATTTAGGAATGAAAAAAAAAAAAATCTGCAAATGTCAGCAACAAAGATCACATCACTTATCTCAGCCTATTTGAAATAGGTTTATTTGGATGGTTACCACGGCGATACCTCAGAAACCTTCTTGATTGGTGAGGTGGATGAGGTTGGCCAGCAGCTAGTAGAGACTGCCAGGCGTTGCAGAGATGAGGCCATTGCTGTCTGCAAACCAGGTGCACAGCTTTGTGTCATAGGAAACACTATCAGGTATAGAATTTCATACGTTCCTGTTTTCATTCTACATTTTTTATCTTCCTCACCATTCCCACACACTGATTTATATTCAATCTGTTGTATTTCCACAGTGAAATAGCCCATTCTAAAGGCTTTCAAGTGTGTCCATATTTCATTGGACATGGAATAGGCTCTTACTTTCATTGCCATCCTGAGATATGGCACCATGGTAAGTTGGTCTTCAACTGGAGTAATGTGGTTAAGTGCTTTAGGCAGTGGCTTATGTACAATAAAAAAATAAATAACAAGACCAGAAGAAAAAATTTCTGAATGCAGAAATAAGAAATGAGACAAAAAAGGAAAAAGTTGTGCCGTAATCAGGTGGGACCTCCTTTTCATACCAGATACATCACTGATCATTACTGATGTCCAGTAATGATGGACTGTCCATGGTATTTAGCTTTTGTACTAACCCAAACGGGGAAGTCATAGCAATTAAAGGAGACAAGGCCTTTCAAGACGTTTCTAAAACCCTGAACTTATAGTTGCCATCTGATGGATAATGCAGTTGGCATCACTGTGATATTTATCTGAGGATCGTCTTGTATCTTGATAGCCAGTTGTATCCTCTTGCTCAGTGTACCGTAACCCACAGGCTCGTTGCAGCAATAGCACGCTGCTAGAGGCTGTGCTTATGCAGCTCAACCATTCGACCACGTTTAAAGTGAGACTTTTGTTTTTTTCTTAATCAGGAAATCATGATAGTGGGGATACCTGGCAGAAAAATTCAACAAATTTAGATTTTTGTGAAGATATGGGCTTTTAAAAGTTGTCTTCTTAAACTTAATGAGCACATGAAGAGTTTGTTTCAACTGGATGGTTGTTAACAATAAATTGCTTTTGAATTTTTACTTTTTTTTCTCTCTCTCATTTCTTGTTTTTGCATTTGGAAGCTTTACTTTGAATCTTAGAATCCAACAGTACAATGTGAATTCTTGGCATTTTTTTTTACTGGTTTAAAATTTTTGATCAGGCATGTATTTGAAATCCTAGATAAACAACAACTCAGAGACTAATATTTATTAAATAATCACAATCTCATTAAGTAAAAGATCAAAATAGATTTCAAATGAATGGATGGAAATGCTCTTAGAATCATTCATAAGAACTGGAGAGTATTTCTTTATTAAGAGTAGGACAAACAATTAGAGTAAAGGCTTTTTTTCTCCAATAAAATGTCTCTTGTTTTTTTCTGGCTAATAGTTAAAATAATAACAGAATAAACACTTTCAAATGTACTTAAGTTTAGACTTGCATGACTTGTGGATAAAAGCAAATTTTTAAGTCTGAAATGTTTACTTGATCAGGCAGATCCATTCCAACAAATGCATGCTGCCTCCATTTAGATTGAACAATGGTTTCTGACAAGTTAACTTTATATAGGCTTATATGGATTCTGTATGATAAAGAGTGCTTTTAATTTCAGCTAACGATAATGACATAACCATGGATGAAGGGATGGCTTTCACAATAGGTAAGATACTTTATAGTTTTTGTTTCTGCATTGAAATATCAGTGATTAATGTGTGGTTATTTCTTTTTAGAGCCTATAGTGATGGAGGGATCTCCAGAGTTTAGAATTTTGAAAGACAAGTGGACCGCTGTGTCGGTCGATGATAAAAGGTAGGAATTAATTTAAGAAGTAACTGTAGCGCCTAATGTCACTGAAGCTAAACTAATTGAAGTCACTTTAGAATGGAGGTTTGATCTGCTGGTTACATTTTTGCTGGAGTTAGTTACCAATCTGTAAAAAGGTACTTTGTAAATCTGCAAATGTTTGTGCTAAAAAAATATTGATATTACATAAAAAAAATAAAAAATTTTTTTTTTATATATATATAAATATATATATATATATATATATATATATATATATATGCAATAGAAAAGGTTCAGGGTTTGGTTTAAATTGCTTTCCATGTGATTGCATTTAAAACGTCCCACTGAATAATGTGATCCGTCTGTAAGAAGTTGATCCATCATTGCTCCCATTGGTTTCTTATATGCAAAACGACTTAATATAGTTGTATTTTGTGGTTATTAAACTTGGGGCAGACTTTGCTTTTTAAAACAAACAAACAAAAATGCCAAAGGTTCCACTGTGAAAACTAAATTCTTTAACATATATTGATTGATTTAGAGAACGGTTAAACATAATGTGTCATATGGTCGTTCGGAAATATTAGAATTTAACTATACTAATCTAAAAACATGCACGTGTAGTATCAAAAATAATTAACATGACTGAAATGTAGTTAGTATTTACAAAATTAAGGGAACTAATAATACAAAGATGAGAAAACCCTTGAAACTAGGCTTGATGTTTTTGCCAGTTGGATATGTTAGCCAAGAAATGTTTACATTTCTTATGCCACATTTTCATTGCGCCTCTGAAACTGGTACTGGTAGCTCCCAAGGCAGGAATTACACTAAGAAAAATAGCTGCGCCTATAATATTCAGGAACTTAAGTGCCTGGTTAGCTTCACCCAAATTTTAATGAGAGCGTCGGTCTTGGCATAATCCCAGGTTGCACAACGCCCTTTTGATGCCATTGTTAATAAGCTGAGAAGAAATTTGTATTATAAACAGGTGAAGGGATCTATGAATTGCGATGGACATGCCATAAAACTCGCGAAATGAGTCAGCTGACTGTAAATAGGAGATGACGCGGTCTTTTCATGCTCTGTTATGTTATCAGAAAACCGAGCCACAGCTGAACCGTGCCGAGCCCTACTGTTGAACTAGTAATAGATTTAGCGTGGTTCGGTTGTGTCTGGCAAGGTCCAGTTCAGTGTCTCGGTTATAGGTCTGGATAAAAAAATCGATTTAATCGATTTTGAATCGATTCCTTTACATTTTTGCAAAATCAAAATCTAGGGAATGAGATCGATAAATTTTGTAGTGACGTGGGTGACGTTCACAATAAAATGAGCAGGAAAGATGCTTTCAAAATTACTTCAAGCCAGACAGCTGCAAATAGCCAATAGGTTGACATTAACAAATGGGGGCTGACCAGCAAACACCCTGTAGTTGTTACAGACAATGCTGCAAATATGGTTTGTGCAGTGGAGATAATGCAGCTCATGCATGTCTGCTGTGTCCCCGCTGTGTCACGTCTGCTTGCTCGAGTGAGGCTTCACTTTTTCCCTTTTCACAAATAAGTTTGCACTTTTGAGACAGTTTTGTTCACATCTCAAGTTTAAACTGTTCGATTTACAAGTTTGCACTTTGTGTTTAATATGACAGAAAAAAATAAAATACATGAGTATTTTGAAACACAGTTGAACCACTTTCATTATTGTAAAAACGATCGAATCGAAATCAATCGATTTAGAACTGAATGAATCAAAATTGAATCGATTCAGGACTTTGGCGAAAATGGTAACTGGTTGTGAAAATGGGGCTATAGTATTTTTGCAAGCCCAGCCTCATCCTTATCCTTTTTAATGAGTTCCCTTGAGAAATCAGCTTTTGTGGCTACAAAACTCTTCATTTTCATACTCTCCATACCCCTTGCATATATAAAACTGATACCGATAACTATTTTTTTTTCTCTTTAATCTTTGTTTTCTTTTGTTTTTTTAAACTTGTGTTTGGGTTTGATCACACAGGTCAGCTCAGTTTGAACACACGGTGGTCATCACAGCAGAAGGGGCGAAGGTTCTCACCAAACTACCAGAAGAGGACAATCTGTGACAGCAATGACTGCTAGGTGGAATAGTAAACCATTTGTTCTTCTAAGCTCTTTTTTTGTGTTAGAATAAAACACTGTTATGCTACAAACTGTCTTAGAATGGGGAAGACCAAATTGTATTTCATCAAACAGGAATGCAGTCATGTTTGCTTTATTCAAACTTGAGAAATATTATAAAAGCTGAACTTATTGTTGGTTTGAGGAATTTAATGCTCGTACAACATTGTTAGACTAAACTACAGAACATGTTGCATTCAAATAAAGATAAAATCCAAACACCTTTTGTCATTTACTCTCACTCCCTTTAATATGTTTGAAGCTTAAATGGGCTTTGGTTTAATATAGTTCTTACTTTATTGAAAGGCCAGTTTACAAGCGGTTAAATCAGACAGGCTACCATCAGATAATAAAATGCTGCCAGGAGATGGCAGCAAAAACTTAGACTTTGCAGATGATGTTTCACGCCCTTTCAGTCTCTGATGAATAGAAGCATCTCTACACCCTATTTCAACCTCTTATTTGTTTGTCATTGCAGTGTCAGTAGAAACCCATGTATCTCAGTTTTAGCAAGCCGGTCTCCATGGTGATATTAATCTAAAGCAGCTGTATCCTGTTATGCACCATTGCTAAACTGCACAGCCTAAGATTAATTGTTTAGAGGCTTGATGGGCACAAAGTAATGTGGTCTCTTAACTTAGCAAGTAGATTTTAAAGATAAAATAAGAAAAAAAAAAGTTTAAAAAGAAGGGGCTTTTAAGGATTGACCTGAGGAGATAAATTCCAATCATAGCAATGTGTTCTTTGTTTACTTTTCTGTAGCATGACCTACCTCTAATCCCAGTCCGTAGATGGATGTAATGACGAGCAACAAGTTTAGACAAGGCTCTTGCAGTATTTTAAGTTCACGAAGAGGGTGGCTACTGTTATACATGCTATACTGCTATGGATGTATCAGAAAAAGATGATACATGTCCATGGTGTGTGTGGGTAATGTCTAATTGAATTATTTTGTTATAATACAAATAAACAATAGATAATCTTTTGAAGGGCAGTTACAAAGGTCAGTTGTTCAAAAACACAAGTGTACACATTAAATGTTAACAAACAAAAAGTTTTCTTTTCTACATAACCCAATATAATGGGAGTGGTAAATTGACAAGGCTGTACAGATAACAGGATCCCAGCCCACTGTAAGGGTGTGTTTTCATTTCCTACCAGTGTCATGAGGCAGGATGGGTTTGTATGATCGTTACCAACAACAGTTTGTGGGCAAAACCGGAAGGTTTGAACAAATAAAGGTGGGTCATGTTCAGCCAGGAAATGATTCAACCAAAATGTATTTAATGACTCACTTTTTAAAGTATGGCATATCCCTCATTAGGCTTAGTAACAGGTTCTTTTTACTTCAACAGTAAAAAGTTACTCCAAAATAGTAGACACCACACTTCAGCATCGGCTTTGTTATTTGTTAAAGATTTACAATCTCAGCTTTAAAATGAGGGCAGGACGTGCAAGCCAGAATAAGCTTAGACTCCCTTTGAATCAGATCATGATGACGCTGACAGTTTTTTTTTGTTTTTTTTTGCAATCATCCACCTGCAATTGATTGAGAAAGAGTCTAACTTCCAGTTTGAAAAGCACATTTTTATATTACAACATTCAGCAAAAGTGGAGCAGAGAAGGTAGCAGATATATTAAACTAAAAAAGTTATGAAGAGAGCTCTCTCCTTTTGTTTATTTTGCTTTCTGCATGTCAGGACTTATTCCTAAAATCTTTCAACTTTTTACCTATAAGTACATTTGAATGTTTTTAATATCTGAGTATGTGCACATGCCTCTTTCTCAGGCAGTATCACATTCCAGATGTGCATATCTTTGTCTAAGAGTCTGCTGTTACATTTCACACTTTTCTGGGATTTTGCAGCGTGGAGCACCGCAGACATTTTTGGAGGACCTTAACGGAGTGATGCACTGTTCCTAAATCTGTACAGACATGTCTGTCCTGCATACATGCACAGATGGTGTGGACTTATTCATACCTTAATGATTTGATTCATCGGTGTACCTGTGGGCCATAAAACTTTGCTGAGCCAGGACATGTGGCTATAGGCTGACTCAGACAGGGTAACGCCCAATACAGAGTGGTTTGTTTAACCAGAGTATAATAAAAACATGACAACACTTAAATATAGGTTCTTGTGGCATGGATTTGTCAGCCTGTATGTATGGCGCTCAGATTCTCCCTTTAGAGGTTCCTTATTCTTCTCTGTCCCCCCCTTTTTTTTTAGGTCTTTTTATCTAATCTGCAGACAAGCTTGTAAGGGATGCTATGCAATTATACTAGTTACATGATGCAAACTGCCAAGTTTTAATTTAATGAAACCCCTGCACACATGCATTTAAAGTAGCTCACATTTTACAGTAAACAAGCTGTTAAAACATGTCTGTGTTTGGCCATAAAAAAGAAAAACACTGAGGCAAGCTGAGAAGCACAGGGGACTTTCTGATTAATGATATTTACAAGTTTAAAATGTCTCTCTTTTCACCTCTAGACTCTTGGAATTACAAGAATCCTTTCTGGACTTTTAGTACAGGCAAAATCCTTTTAAGTTTTCCTGAGCTCCAGGGTCATAGATAGGGGAGCAAATTCATCGACACTCCCATTGTGTTGCCTTGATTACTGCTTGTATCTTTTCAGCCCATGCAACTCTCTTTGTTTCTCTGAAAAACTTCTTGAGGCTAAACAACCAACTTGCCAAACTATGAGCAGGGGTGCTGTGTTATGTGTTGTCTGGATGGTATGCGTTGCCTGAGGTGCCTCTAGAGGGACTCTTATAAATTACATCTTGCTGTTTCTGTTGTTTTCAAAGATTCAAATCACTAAAATGCTCACTAGAAACACAGTAAACTATACAATCCTTTTTCCTTGTTATTAGAACTGGAAAGACGTTTTTATACAACTTATGCATTAACTATACATGATTCTACGTGTGGGCTGGCATTAAAGCAAGCTGAATATATTTGGGTCATTTTAAATCCTTTACCCACATCAGACACATTTCCTTTGATCAGTTTAAATTCAAATTTAAACTTTTTAAAACAATGCCCAGCTGTCTGTCTGTCTGTCTGT